CAGCTCCATCCATGTTGTTGCAGAGGACATGATTTTGTTCTTTTTTATGGCTTTATAGTATTCTATGGTGTATATGAACCACATTTTCTTTATCAAGTCTACCATTGGTGGGCATTTAGGTTGAGTCCATGTCTTTGCTATTGGGAATAGTGCTGCAGTGAACATACATGTACATGTGTCCATGTGACAGAACAATTTATAATCCTTTGGGTATATACCCCATAATGGGATTGCTGGTCAAATGGTAATTCTGTTTTCAGCTCTTTGAAGAATCCCTACACCACTTCCCACAATGGTTGAACCAATTTACGCTTGCACCAAGAATGTGTAAGCCATTCCCTTTTCTCTGTAAAGTTTCTTTTTTCATGAAAATAAATAAGCAGGCTCCTGTATATGTGTACATACGTTTGTATATATGTGTTTGAGTGGGGATATAGATGTGGAAGGAAACGAAGGCTGGTGTTACTGGTTATGTCATTGATGAGTAGTGGCCAGGAGATAAAAATCAACTTTGCCTTTATTTATCGTTGTATTGTGCCGTTTCATTTGTTAAATTAAGCTTGTATTATGTTTGTAATTTGAAAAAACATCAACTTAAGTCAAAAGAAAAGCTGCCTGTTCTGACTGACCTCAGGACGGTGGGAATGCAGGAATTGAAATTAGTAGCTTGGGAGCATCTCAGCTTGGAAATCCAAGGTTTCCCAGACTTCCCAGACTCCCAAGACGGGGAAATACAGCCTAGGAAGTGGCAAGCCAGCCTCCCTTGGGGCAGCAGCAAGCTTGAGGGGTCCACAGGACTGCTTGTTCACTAAGCACATACCCCTTCCAGATAGCAGCTGTCTACTGTAGGGCAGAGTCCTTGCCTGGGGCAGTTGGAGGCAGGCCCATCCTTCTAGTGCACACAGATGGCTGCCCTCTGCTGATGGACTGCTCCTGGTCCAATCAGCAGTAGCAAGAACCAGCTGGGCTGCTTTTAATCGAAGCACCTGATGTGAATCATTTAATTATTCAGGAAAGAAGAACTGCTGGGCCTCTTTTACTGAAAAGGGGGGCCAAGTACTTGACTGGCCCTTTGAGCCTGGTTGGTCTGTTTGGTTTGGGTAAGAACATTTTACCTGGAATGCCTGGTACCAACCTTCTGCAGAGGATTGTCAGAAGTAACCCACCCTTAGGAATGTACATGGATGTGTGAGGATACGTGTAAAATTCAGGTATTACTATCTTCCATCCTCTTGTCAGAAAGCAGCTATATTAAATGCGGCCAAAGAGATGGAGGCTGAAATTGTGGCAAGGGAATTGGCAATGTGAGATGCTAAAGATCAAGAAAGCAGACGGCGGCAGCGGCCACAGCAGCAAGTTCTGCTGTTTATTGGGTACCTGTGCTGCATTGGGCACCATGCTAGATGCACCACAGACATCAGGCACATACCATGCTCAATAATTCAAGGTAGTTGCGTTCAGTCACCATTTACAATTGAGACTCAGAATAAGTAAGTCATGTGCCTCAGGCTCCACTGATAGTAAACTGGCAGATTTGGATTTAGGACCTTTGCCCTCAAACCACACAGGCTTCTGGGGAACAAGCCTTTGTTAGCATTTCCTATTCAGTAGCCAAAGGATTAAGAGCAGCTCTATTTTAGAGAGATGGTCTCAGTTCTTTATATGGAATTATTTCATCAGACTACTAAACTTAAAAAGTATTAATGTGCATGGTGGAAGTATGTCTTTAAGGTCAGTGGCTCCAACCACTGGAAGGGGTGTGCCTGTTCTGTTACTGCTGCCTGCTAAGACAGGGGCTTAGGAGAGAACAGATCTGGCCACTGGGATTGCAAGATCCTTCTAGCTTGGGACACTTTGAAGTGTAAGTGCTTATGGGACCTAAGGCAGAGGTAGCCCGTGGGTGGTACTACTGTGCACCTTGGAGAGTCCTTGCGCTGGACATAAAGACGGAAGAAAACTCTGGATGCTCATATGCAGGTGGAAGTGTGGTTTGCTGCAGTCTTCCTGGGGATGCCATTTGGCTGTATATGTCAAACGTCTTAAAATTTTTCATACCCTTTACCCTGTAATTGAACTTCTAGAAATTTTTCTAAAGGAAATGTTAAGTGTATATACAAAGATTTATGCCCAAGAATGTTCATCCTGGCCTTTTTTATAATGGTGAAAAATGGAGCTAACTTATAGGAAAACAGTTAAATACAGCAGGCCATTCAAAGCAGTCACTAGCAGGATGCATTGCTATCATGTACAGTGAAAAAACAGGAGATAAAAAATACATAAATCATATTTCAATTTTTAAATATTGAATAAAATTTACCGCATGTAACCGGTATGTATGGCTGGTCGAATAACAGGTGAGACTTATTTTCTTCTACTTACCAAATTACAGTGAACATGTAATTATGGAAGAAAACAAGACCAATTTCTTTGAAAATGTCCCATTCTGATATATGTGTGTGGTGAGGTGGTGCCAGGACATGCCTCTGAGTATTCGTTGTTATCCTAAGGACATGTGTGTGAGCATAAGCCCAGCTTCTCTGCATGATCAACAAGAAAGTAAGAAGCCAGGGGCAGTGGCTTATGCCTGTAATCATGACACTTTGGGAGGCAGAAGGATAGCTTGCAGCCAGGAGTTCAAGGTTACAGTGAGCTGATCGTGGTGCCACTGAGCTGATCGTGGTGCCACTGCACTCCAGCCTGGGCAACCAAACAAGACCCTGTCTCTTAAAAAAAAAAAAAAAAAAGGTAGCAAAACAAAAACTTACCCCAGGTCGATGGACCATGAACTTGATAGGAAATAAGAGGGTCAACTAGAATGGGCTATTTTCTGTAACAGAAATATCAGAGTCTTCTTTGTCATTCCTTCCCCATAGGCAGGCTTCAGAAAGAAGTGGTGTGTGTGGTTTTTGTGGCTGGATTCAGTTTCAGAGGGTGGTAGGGGACTGAATTTTGGAAACAGGGTGTCTTTCCTGACAAGGGCAGGGAGCCTGGCGAGACTGTCCCCTGATGCCACAGCAGATGTGTCAAACCATTTTTCCTGCTCATTGCATGTAGTTAGTTTGAGAGAACGTGCTAGTGAAGCTGCCAGCTCAGCTCTAACTGGCCACTCACTTGGAGGCGAGAACGCCTTACTGGCCTGCGCTTGCTTGACGTAATTGCCTCCAGGCTGCTCACGCCTGCTGGACCACAGTTGCTTGAACCGTCAAATAAGGGTGGAGCATATATCTCAAAAGCTTCTTTGTGCTTGAAGATTTGTGATTCCTTGTTCTTTGGAGAATGAAAAGATCTTCTAGGAGGTGATTAGAGAGCAGAACTCTTTAGAAATAATAATGCTCGTGGCCAACATTATATGCAGGACGTTACTGTATGGCGTGCATTGTTCTCGGCACTTTTCTTACATTAACTCATTTAATCCTCACAGTGATCTAATGAGATAGTTATGTTATCATCCATTTTACAGATAATGAAAATGGGGAAAGGAGGAGCATTTCTTATACCAAAAGCATAGCTAGTGGTTTGCAATAATTTTAAAATATTGGCTATTTTAGGCCAGACTTGGTGGCTCACTCCTGTAATCCTAGCATTTTGGGAGGCCGAAGGGGTGGATCACTTGAGGCCAGGAGTTTGAGACCAGCCTAGCCAAGATAGCGAAATCTTATCTCTACTAAAAATACAAAAGTGAGCCAGGCGAGGTGGTGTGTGCCTGTAATACCAGCTACTGAGATCATGCCATTGCAGTTCAGCCTAGGCAACAGAGCAAGACTCTGTCCCAAAAATAAAAAATTATATATATATATATGGGTGGGCTATTTTAGAAATTAATATAAATGCTGACTTTTATCCAGTCTCAAAAGTTATTCTCTGGAATACCTTTTCTGCTGTGTTCCTATATATTTTTCTTAGTTTTCATCTATCTGGCTGTTTGCGTAGGGATGGGAGGTTCCCTTCCTTATTGGTAGGGAAGAAAGAGGTGAACTTCAATAGCTGGGCATGGGGGTGCACGCCTGTAATCCCAGCTGTTCGGGAGGCTGAGGTGGGAGAATTGCTTGAATCCAGGAGACACTCCAATCTGGGTGACAGAGTGAGACACTGTCTTGGAGAAAAAGAGAAAGGGATTAACCTCAGGAAGAAATGGGGAGTGGGCTTTTCAGAAGAGTGTTGCCTCAATCAGGGAAGAGAGAGAGAGAAAAGAAAGAAATGTGAAACTCTCGTGTCTGGAGCAAGCTGGAGCAGGGTTCTGAACGATGTTCATTAAAAGGGACTGTGTGCTGGATTCAGACAAGCTGTGAGAAAGGGACAGGCCCGGGCCACGGAGGAGGGTTGAGATGGACTTTCTTAGGTCTGGGTAGAGCTGGGGCTGCTGAGAGCCACCACTGTGGCTGTCTAGCACAAATTATGCATGTCCTCTGCAGTGCTGTCCAGCAGGGCTTTCTGCCATGATTTGAATATCCAATATCTGCACTCTGGGTTCAGTGTCCACCAGTCACATGTGTCTGTTGCACACTGGAAAGGTGGCTGGCTGGTGAGACTGAAGAACTACGTTTTTTATTTTACTTAATTAAGTTTAAATGTAATAGCTATGTGTGGCTAGTAGCTGCCATATTGGACAGCACAGGTCCTTAAATGGAAAATACTGACATGACGTGAGCATTTTGAAAGCCTATACATTTAATTTATACGTATATTTGAAACTGAAAGAAACTCTGTAATTTCAGAAAAACAATTTAGATTCAATACAAAGACCACAGAAAAGAAGAAGAAAATAAGTACTTATGAAAACACCTCCTCAGAGGTAACTCACTGGTGCTTTGGCATATAACTTTCTAAATTGTCTTCCATGTTTATGTCATAGGTAGCCGACTGGCTGTCAGATGCATAGCCTGAAAGCATCCAGCAAAGGATAAGGCATGTTAGCAGGAGAGTGTGCTGAGTTTGGCCTAGAAGAGATTCTGGAGTTCTTAGTGATTTGCCATGGTTGATGTTTCTCTTTTGGGTTGTAGGTCATCAACCCCATGGGGTGGGATGCTTTTGGATTGCCTGCTGAAAATGCTGCGATCGAGAGGAATCTGCATCCAGAAAGCTGGACGCAAAGGTAAGTGTTTTCAGGCATATTCAAACTCTCGCATACAAAAACCTTAAAATTTTTTTTTTAACCTGTGCATAAAAAATAGCACAGCAAACAACACTGCAGCATACCAAGAGATAAGTAGGATTGTATATATTGGCATTTGTCTTTTAACACGTTGTACTCTTATCTAAGAAATATTCAAAGAGGGTTTTGATATTTGTTCACACATTTGAATATTTATTCATGTGTTCATTTTGATGCTTTCTTACTTACAGTTATTTTTCCTTTGAGTATTTACATTCGGTAGGAAAAAGAAGAGGGTTGCATTTGTTAAATTTCTATAATGCTTCTGGTCTTCTTGATTGTAGTTTTACTATTTCTGAATACTACATTATAATTTCCTCTGAAAATTCGGTTTATTTTTTGCCTTCACCATTCAGAAGCAAGAGAAACTTAGGCATTTGATGTAGAAATATATGGGTGAGGTTTTCTTCGAGGCAGAACGCACTCCCAGTCCCACCCAAGCCTCAGCCTTCACTACACATGGGCCAGTGGTGCTCATTCCTCTCCCTCCTGCCAAGGTCCTGAGGGCTTCACCCTAGCACTTGGCAGAATCCTCTGGGCCCACTGTATCAGCTCATTTCACAAAGGCCTGGGGACCCTTCCCCATGTTACCCCTTAGAGACACGGAAGGGCAGGTCCAGGGCCTGTGCCCAGTCTTACCTCTCTGTTCTAGCTTATGCAAGGATATATTGTAAAAACATCTACTGTACTTCTGTTCATACTATGTTATCCAGGTCTCATTTTTTCTTCCTAACTGCTAGTTTCTACTTTTCTAGTAATGTTTAATTCTAGATTAATGGGAGTGATTTTTAAAAATGGAGGAAATGATTCAAATAAAATGGATCAAACATGGTTTATGTTTGATATAAGCTAGACCAGGAGTTGGCAAACTATGGTCTGTGGTCTAAATCTGGCCCTACCGGTTTCTGTCAATCAGGTGTTATTGGAACACAGTCAAATCCATTTGTATTGACCATGTCTGCTTTCGTGAGACACTGGCAGAGCTGAGTACTTGTGATAGAGACTGATTGGCTCACGAAGCTGAAAGCATTCATCATTTGGCCCTTTTAGAGTTTGCCAGCCACTTTATTAGAGAACAGTGTTAAGATGACGGTCCCTGAGCCAGGCTAGCTAGGTGCAAATTCTGCCTTCCCTTCTTGCCAGCAGATCACCTTGAGCAAATTACTTAACTTAGCTCTGTGTTTCAGTTTACTTGTCTGTAAAAGAGGGATAGTCATAGTTCCTATCTCATGTGACTGGATAAAGATTAAGCACTTTGCTGCAGAGTGCTTAGCATAGGGCCTTCGATTAAATAAGCTCTCATTGGCTAATCAGAGATTACACAGAGGACCTTTTCATGGTTTTTCATATTTTTAGTCTGCTAGAAACTAAAAGAGGACGCAGTAGAAATGAATTAGTCCTTTCTCTTTAAAAAAAAGGAAGGAGAAACAGATTTATTTATTTCATGTTATAAGTTGGTTTACCCATTTATCTCCCATTTCTCAATTGTGGATCGTTTTAGGTTTTAGGATTTAGGTTTTGATTAACAAAGCAATATGTGATTTATTTTGGATTCCCACAATTTATACAGTAGGGCTTTTGTTTTCAGCCACTTTTAAACTTATAAATGCTTGGCTTAAATAATATGGCTTAAGTGCTTGCAGAATGTTGACATGTGGGTGGGCCAGCAGTGCACATCTCAGAGGGGTTGCTTATTTGAATAGCTAGGGGAAGGGGCAGTCCTGTAGTTTCTAGTGGATTCTGTGTGTGTCTAAATAATGGGTGTCTTCTAATCTGTTGGTATTTTTTGCTGATTCTTAGTGGTTAATTTTTCTGCCAGGGCAAAGCAGCATTTAAAGCCCATTTGAATAATTTAGATTTTTTTCGGTTTCCCTTTACGTTCTCAAAGTGTAGTTTGTGTATCACTTTAATCCCCCCTCTAAAAACCAAACCTTTTTCCTGTTGTTTCACAGTAATATTAAACACATGAGGAAACAGCTTGATCGACTGGGCCTGTGCTTCAGCTGGGATAGGGTAAGTCAACTCTTTTTCCTGAAAGGTCATCATTTTAAGGAAGGTCCTGATGGCATGGAGCACTCTTCTTCCTCTTTGAGTTGGGGGAAGGTAAGGGTGGGAGGCAGGAAGCAGGAGGGAAGGATTAGCATTCCTCAAAAAAGTATCCTGAGTGGATAATTGTCTTTCAAACAAGTAATTTTCTGTGGGATTAAACTGAGAGTTAAACTTCATCTTTAACTTGAGAGTTGGCTGTGATTTCTCTGTGGCAAAAGCTTTGCACAAGGATTTCTCTAGTTCTCTGCAGTAGTTTGAAAAGGCTATTGGAATCTGTTACAGTGATTAGATATCAACCCATCTGGTCCTTGAGGTGATTAGACATTGACCATTTATTTCCCTTTTGTTCCAAGTTCAGAAGTGAGGCTTATAACAACACATAGTTACTTTGTCACATACAACCTTTTGGTGTTAGATAATTTCAAACTATACATTAAATCAGTGGAAAATTTCAGACCCAGGAGGAGTTCATGGAAAACCACCTGGCCATTTGAAACACTCATGTGTTGCAAACACATTGTGAACTGGGTCCTTCGAAGCTCCAAAGGCCCACCCTTTAGGCATTGAAGAATTGTCTGTTGGATAAGATGGACTGTTGCTTGTCTCCTCCAGGAGGGGCCCCATCCAATGCTACAGTCCCTTTTAACATCCCATTTACTCCACAGAATGATTGGGGTTTTCATTGCTGGGCCTGTCAAGTTTGTATCCTTTTCTTTATGAGAAGCAGGGGAACAAATCCAAATGAGAGTTCTTCATCTCTCCCCCACCAATTTCTTAAATGATTGAAATTTGATGAGTATAGTGAAAAAGCACAAAAGTCAAACATATTTGAAAAAGCCTTGAATTATTATTTCCTTATGCCGAGTCAAGTTGTTGGAGTGCCAGTAGGGAATCACTCATAGAGAATGAAATACAGTCACAGGCAGAGAACTGCATGTTGGCCAGAGCTCTTTCAGGTTGAGAGTGTAGACTGCTCAAGGGCAAAGGTGGACTTAATAACTCTCTAGAATGATAACTAGCCTAGTCCTGCCCAGGAATATCAACTAGAAATGACTTAGAAGTTAGATTGTTTTCCTAATCATCACAGAGGATTCGAAAATACAGAAGAGTTTAAAGAACATAATGTGGCTAATTTAACATTTTGGTATGGTTCCTTGCAGTCTTTTATTCTGGGATTATAAACATTTATGTAATTTACTTTTACAAAATTCAAATCAATATGCATATATTTTTTTGTCTTGAACATTTTTATATCTCAGCTATTTGAAAATGACTTCTTTTATAGCTGAGCAGTTTTTTATTTGATGAATATATCATAATGTATTTAAGCTATCTCTTATTATTATACATTTAGATAGATTCTAGTGATTCTTTATTATAAATGTAAATTCTCAATCCTTGTGCAAATCCAAAGTCCAGAAAGCTCTGAAAACAAAGTTTTTTCATAATTTATTTGACTGTAAAACCTGAACTGAACTGATATTTATCTCACTTTAAATGAATATTTATATATTTTACTGTAGAAATAGTAAAATTACCAAGTAATATCCCAGACCTAGTTAGGTAAATGCACTATTTCCTTTTAATTTCCAAAAAAGTCTTAATTCTGAAGCACATTTGGCTGAAAACATTTCAGATAAGGAATTTTGAACCTCTATTGCAATGATGTAGGTAAATATCACCACTTCTACTACCATTGTCTGATAGTTACTGAACACTTACCATGGACCAAGTACTGAGTAGGTAGGACCTTATTATCTCTTTGGATTCCTAGAGAGCTCTGAAAGGCAGGTACTTTTATTGACGTCATCTTATTGCTGGTCACCTGAGTGGCAAGGCTGGGCTGATCCATTGGCCAAGTTATGAGTGCCATGCTCCTTCCCCACACTTAAAGGCAGAAATCTTAGTGTAGATGATCCTGGACTTACAATGGGGTTATCATAAATTGAATAAGCCCATCCTAAACTGAAACTGTTGTATGTATGTAATACATCTAACCATCACTGCTTCACCTGGCCTACCTTAAATGTGCTCAGGACACTTAGATTAACCTACAGTTGGGCAAAATCATCTGACAACACAGTCCCTTGAAAGTATTGGTTGTTTACCCTCATGATTATGTGGCTAACTGGGAGCCGAGGCTCAGTGCTGCTGCCCAGCATCTCAGGAGTATCATACTGCTTTCTACTGAATGCATCTCTTTTACACCATTGCACCACTGTAAAGTCGAAAAATTGTTAAGACAAACCATCCTAAGTTAGGAACCATCTATACACATATTTTATTATTTTCTTAAAAAATAAATTCTCAGCCAGGTGCGGTGACTCACACCCATAATTCCAGCACTTTGGGAGGCTGAGGCAGGTAGATGACGAGGTCAAAGAGTTGGAGACCATCCTGGTCAACATGGTGAAACCCCATCTCTACTAAAAATACAAAAATTAGCAGGGTGTGGTGGTGCGTACCTGTAGTCCCAGCTATTCGGAAAGCTGAGGCAGGAGAATTGCTTGAACCCAGGAAGCAGAGGTTGCAGTGAACTGAGATGGCACCACTGTACTCCAGCCTGGTTACAGAATGAGACTCTGTCTCAAAAAAAAAAGTTCTCAAAAAAGTCAAAAACAGGTTGGTATTTATTGCCAAATTATCCTCCATAAAGGCTATACAGTTATTTTCAATTGTATTTCCTCAATTAGGAGTGATTGTGAGGCTTTTTTTGTGTGTTTAATGAATGTTTGAATTTGAACAGGGTATATATGTGAATGGTCTAGTCATGTCTTTTCTCATATAGGTAGGAGGTGTTTGTCCTTTTTTTTAATGATTTTTGTTACAAATATTTTTCCTCAGTCTGTCATTTGCCTTGCATTTTGTTTATGTGGGATATTATTAGCATACAGATATGTACTTAGGTCTTCTTTGAGATAGGATATAACACACATTTTCTTCTTGATCTGTTGTGTTTTAATTTTTACACTTAACTGGAGTTATTTTAGTATATGAGATAAGACAGGGAATTACTACTTTTTCTAATTTTTCAAACAATCCTTTCTCTCTGTTGATTTAAAAGGCTAACTTTATCGTAGACCACGTTATTTCATCCTATTATGATACACCAAGTTCTGTTTGTATTCCTTTGATCCATTCATTATTTCGTGACTAAACTATTTTTAGTGACAGTTGCTTTATAATTGCTTTTACTACTTGGCAACAGAAGTGTTCTCTGATTGTCTGATATTAGCAATGCCATCTCCACTTTCCGTTTGTCTTGCTGATATGTTTGTCCGTTTAAAAAAAAGCAACAACAACTTTTAGCCTTTATTTGTTGACTTCTATTGGTACATCGTTTATAGATACAATTAATTTTAAAAATTAAAAGATGGGCAAATATATGGGGGAAGCCTTCTTTGGGCCAATTTGGAGTCTTTGTGTTTAATAGGAAAGTGAAAAGCTATTTGTATTTATTTTTATAACTGCTACTGATTTTCTAATTAAACTTTTAAAAACATAGTTTAGGTGTTCTTTTTTTTTATGATGCATTGCCTTTGGATTTTGTTTTCTTTTATCCATAGAGACTTGAAAGATATCAATTCCGTTATTTGATCTGCTAAAAATAGCTTTAAGAATTTTTCAAAAATATTTTGTATTAATATAAAAAATAAAACAGTATATTTCTTTTGATCATTGTGTAAGATCAGAAAAGTAGTAGATAATTAACATTTTCTAAATCTATTTTCGGGTTTTTTGTTGTTGTTGTTTGTTTTTATCGGGGTATATCCTGAGATTTTAGGCCTAATTTTCTGTTTTGTTGTTTTTTGTTTTTGTTTTTTAGACAGAGTTTCACTCTGTCACCCAGGCTGGAGTGCAGTGGTGTGATCTCAGCTCATTGTAACCTCTGCCTCCCAAGTTCAAGCGATTCCTGTGCCTCAGCCTCCCCAGTAGCTGGATTACAGGCGTACACCACCACACCTGGCTAATTTTTGTGTCGTCGAAGAGACAGGGTTTCACCCATTGTAGTCCAGGCTGGTCTCAAACTCCTAGCCTCAAGTGATCCACTGTGCCTGATTGATTTACTGTTGTATTACAATTTTTCTGATCATGTATCATTCCTTAACCATTATATTTGATATTTGCCTCCAGTTTTACAATCATATTCATAGCAATTATTTAAATTTTAATGCTCTTTAATTTTGGAACTTATCAGAATACCTTTTAAAGGACAACTAACTGTTCATTTAAAATTTTTTCATTTGTGAAAGTTTTTTAAATTTTGTTTTAACTCTTGGTTCGGTGTGATCTTTGCCTGGGTATCAAACGTTACTTTCATAACTGAGAATGACTGCTGCTTTCACCTGCAAACACCTATATCCCAGTAAGCAACTTACTGGGATATAGAATTCTTCATTCATTATCTTTTTTCTTTCTGTAGTAGACCTTTATCTATTGTCTTTTTTTAAAATATAGGCTCATAAGAATTTGCCAGGATAGTACAGAGAGAGCCTGTGTGCTCTTTACCCAGCTTTGCCCAATGATAGCATTTTACATAAGTGTAATATAGTATCAAAACCAGGAAGCTGCCTTCAGTACAATACTATTATTAATAGGTAGAGTGCAAATCTTATTCAGATTTAGATGTAATCATTTGTGTCTATGTGTGTGTGTATAGTAGTATAAATGCTCCTTAACTTACAGTGAGGTTATATCACAATAAACGCGTCGTAAGTTGAAAATATGGAATTGAAAATACATTTAATACACATAACTTAGTGAATATCATAGTTTGGTCTAGCCTACCTTAAATATGTTCAGAACACCTGTATTATTAGCCTACAGTTGGGCAAAATCATCTAACACAAAGCCTGTTTTGTAATAAAGTGTTGAATATGTTATGTAATTTATTGATGTTCTATTGAATGTATATCACTTCCACACTATTATAAAGTCAAAATATAGGTCTGGCCATTGTACGT